TATGAAGTTAGACCGTCAGGATATGCTGGTAAGTTTCGACATGGAATCTCTATTCACCAAAGTACCAGTCAAAGATGCCGTGGATGGACTTAGCCAGAAACTCATCCCGGAGGGTTTGCCCAAGTATGTCCCAGGACTAGTGGAGTACTGCCTATCGTCAACATATTTCAGCTGGAAAGGGAAATTCTATGAACAATGCGAAGGCGTAGCCATGGGATCACCTCTGTCTCCTGTGATAGCCAATTTTTACATGGAGATGTTTGAAGAGGAAGCGTTAAAGAAGAGTCCTTGGAAACCGAAGCTATGGCTCCGTTACGTCGATGACACTTTCGTGATCTGGCAACATGGAAAAGAGCAACTCCAGGCATTTCTAGACCACCTCAATTCACAGCACCCCATGATAAAATTTACCATGAAAACAGAAACTGCAAAACAGTTCATTCCTGGATGTGTTAGTCACTAGGAAGACAGATGTGGGCATGGAACTGGGAGTATATCGAAAGAAGACGCATACGAATGGGTACCTGCAGGCTTCATTCCACCACCACCCACAACAGAAGAGGTCCGTGATTAAAGCCTTATTCCAACGAGCAGAGAGGATATGCGATAAAGAGAACCTAAGAAAAGAAGAAAAATTCCTAGAAGATGTGCTGCAGAAGAACGGCTATACGATGAGAGATATCCGACGAGCCACCAAACCACGCAAACAGAAGGATGACTCGGTAAGTACGACACCAGCCGGTTTTATCTGCCTTCCTTATGTTTCAGGTGTGACGGAGCGAATTGCGAGGTGTCTGAAGAAGAATGATATCGTGGTACGATACAGTACGGTTAGCAAAATACAAAACGCTCTTCCGATAGCCAAAGACAAACTAACCCCATTAAAGACAGTGGGAGTCTACCGGCTATCGTGCAGTTGCGGGAAATATTACGTTGGCCAAACTGGACGTAACATCGAGTGCCGCATCAAGGAACACGAGAGGGACGTCCGACTAAGAAAGATCCAACAATCTGCGGTCGCAGAGCATTGCCACAAAGGAGGACACAGCATAGAGTTCGACAAAACCAAAGTGCTAGCAAGAAACAGACATTACTTCCCAAGATTGACGAGAGAGGCTATAGAGATTCATCGACATGGGAATAACATGAATAGAGAAGATGGTTGGGAACTCAGCCGCACATGGCAGACCCGGATGCCTTCTCCACCCGGATTTGACAAAAACAACTTAGTTGGCAATTAGTTATTCAAGTATTAACCAAGTTAACTCAAGTTTTAACCGAATTCGTCACTTCGAACTGGTTTCTGAAGAAGGTTGCAACATAGCATCCGAAACGCCAAACATTTTTTCAAAAAACGCACGGGTTAACCCGAAAGTTTCTAGGTCTAGTGTTAGTTCTAGTGATAGTGTTAGTTTTAGTTTAATTAACACCGGCCGTGAAAGCCTTCGTACTTGAATTAAGATTTGTTCCAACTCGGGCCAGGTTGTGTTTGCTTCCACCACCTCACGTGCTTTGGCGTGTAATCTGCCCATAAATATCATCAGCAGACCTTTATCTATTCGAATCTCATGCGATGCTACTAGGGCTGGTGGTAGATATTCTTCGATCAGGAATTCGCAGACGTTTATGTAGCTTTCTAACGTTATCCGTCTGACCAAAACATCTAAAAAAGGTAACTATTTTGCAGCTTCCGTTTCTATAGTAAATTTGGTAATGGGGTGTTGCAAGTTCAAATGGTCAAAGAGTTCCTGGAGACGCTCTGTTTCATGCTGCCAGATCACAAAGGTGTCATCAACATAACCTTGGCAATTACCGGTGGCAAAGGTGCTCATTGTTCATAGAAATCTCCCTTCCAGCTAAACTATGTAGATGTTAAACAGTACTCCACTATCCTTAAAAGTTACTTCCGTTAGCATTCCGGGATGAGTTGCTGGCGAAATCTTTGACTTGCCGTCTGGTAAACAGAGGTTCCACATCGAAACTTACCAGGATATTATGAAGATCTAACATGACGTAACGGGACGTTCGCTTTATGGATTTTAGGTAATCCATAATTTTTTTGTGGTACTAGGTCTTGTACAAACACACTTCTCTGTTGTTCTGTTAGAATTTCTGTAATAATTCTTTCATTTTTTGTATTATCTTCTCGGTGGCGTTCTTTTTGATTTTGTTATAGGTAAGGCACGGAACTTTTGTAACAAAAGGATACGATTTCCCCCCTCCACTTGTTCTCAGTGGCTTCCTAGAAAATAAACCCAGAAAACTAGCCAAGGAGAACAAGTGGAGGGGGGAAATCGTATCGTTCTGTTACAAAAGTTCCGTGCCCTAGTTATAGGTAGCTGAATCCAAAAGGTTCGTGATCTTGTCGTCGTATTCTTTCCAGTCCATGACCATGGTGGCATTGCCTTTATCTGCTGGTGCTTTTTTCTCTGATTGTCAGTAGTTCTTTCGTTGATTGTTAAATTTGATTTTGGTAACTTCGCAGATTTAAGTCGTTATATCTCCGCATCTCCTCCGTATTCATCGCAAGTACTCTGCAAATAAGCGCTTCCACTTTCCAGATTATTTCTTCCTTCGGAACCCTCTTCAGAGTAGACTGCGTAATTCAAGTCTTTGGCGAACACTGTTGTTTCCTCTTCTGTCAATGGGACACTTGATCGATTGATGATGATCCTTTTAATTGGTAAATCCTTAGTTCTTCTCTTTGTAGTTGCGGCGATCCAACTGCTCAAATTTCTTAATTTGTTTGCTCCAGCTTCTTTGGAATTCATATTCCGCCTTCTCAATGGTTATTATATCTATTTTGTCCCAGTTTTATCTTGCTATGAAATTGGAAAATGCAAGATGGACTCGTAGTCACCTCTCACTTATTTTGTGCAGATCTTTGATGGTCTTATAAATTCTTTCCCGTATTAATGCTTGTTCTGTCCTAATCAAAGTCCAATGAGCAGAGCTTCACCTTGATTAAGGCTGGCGTTATTTTCTTTTCTCTGCTTCTTCGTAGGAAGGCCAAACTGCTTAATAACTTGCGTTGTCCAATCCGTAAGTTATCAAAACTTTCTTATTTGTTTATTAATTTTTTTATCTACTAAATTTTAGTTTATAAAATGAACTATATTTTGTTATGATAAATTGATACTCTACAAAATAAAAATACATATAAACATTGAACTAAAACTGAAGTTAGAACTAGAAACTTTCGGGTTAAACTGTGCTTCTTTTGAAAAAGTGTTCGATATTTCAGATGCCATGTCGCAATCTTCTTCAGAAACAAGTTTTAAGTGACGAAATCAGTAGAAATGTGACAAAATATACATGAAAAACAGCAGAACAAAACTTGACATCCGAAATTTTGTAGTTCTAGATCTACAGTTTTAGTTCAATGCTTGTATACAGGGTGTATCTGAATGACTGCAACAAACTTCAAGGGTGATTCTTTAGTGAATTTTAAGGGTACTTTCATATATGAACCATAGGCGACTTCGGCTCCCCTAATACACCCCTCCAAAAATGGCGGAAAATTTTGGTTTAATTTTTTTTTCTCGAAAACCATAAACGCTAGGAAAATAAAATTTAGGGAATATGTTTAACTCATAATAGGGCACGTTTTGATGCTATTTGTACTTTCAACCTACCCTTCTAAACTACTAAACGTAAACACCCCCGTTCAATTTATGCCTAGATTTTTTTTATGAAGATGATAAATACATTGGAAAAATTTCAGTTAGATAGGTAAAACTATTCTAAAACTTTTTTATCTCTCTGAAGTTTTTCGAAAATTTAATAATTTCTGAGAAAAAAAATAATTAAGCAAACACTAACTGTGAAGCTTTAGGGTTGTTAATCGAAAGTTGGAATGAATTTTTAATGAAAAAACCTTAGTAGGCTTTGCAATCTTTGTCAGAAATATTTTTGACGTTTAAATGTCAGTGGTTTTCTTACTATTGTTATTATTTTATTTAAAATTTTGAGCGTAAATGCGATAGAACTTTATTCAAAAATTAATTTGGAAAACAATAATAATAGTAAGAAAAACATTGACATTTCAACGTCAAAAATATTTCTGATAAAGATTGGAAAGCCTACTAAGATTTTTTCATTAAAAATTCATTCCAACTTTTGATCGACAACCCCGCTGTTTAACGGGCAGTGTTTGCTTTATTATTTTTTTTCTCAGAAATTACTCGTTTTTGGGAAAATTTTAGAGAGACAAAAAAGTTTTAGGATACTTTCATCTACCTATGTCAAATTTTTCTAATGTATTTATCATCTGCATACAAAAAATTTTTGCAAAAATTTAAAGGGGGTGGTTACGTTTAGTAGTTTAGAAGGGTAGGATGAAAGTACAAATAGGGTCAAAACGTGCTCTATTATGAATTAAGCATATTCCCCAAATTTCATTTTCCTAGTGTTTATGGTTTTTGAGGAAAAAAAATTAAACCAAAATTTTCCGCCATTTTTGGAGGGGCGTAGCTCCCCAGGGGGGCCGAAGTCGCCCATGGTTCATATATGAAAGTACCCTTAAAATTCACTAAAGAATCACCCCTTGAAGTTTGTTGCAGTCATTCAGATACACCCTGTATATTTTTATTTTTTAGTGTATCCATCACTGGTGCGCCATCAGTTTGTCACAACGAAATATAGTTCATTTATTAACAAATTTTGCGATTCAAATTTAAAAGTAGGAGACTCCTAAGACTCGACTACACAGGGGTATCATTATTTGGAACGGTATATAAGGGTCTCACTTAGTAAAAAAGCAACAAAATTTAAAAAATCATATCTAGTTTATTTATAGAAATTAAGAAATAATTTTTACATAGTACTATTTCTATTCTATTTTGCACTACAAGGCAGCAAATAAGAATTTTATTGATGTAACAAATATTAATAAAAAAAAATATATGACTATTATATTAGAGAAAAATTTAAAGAAATTAAACGTAAAAATATTTATCAAAAAAAGACTATATCAATAAATAAATCAATTTAAATACTTTCAAGACGTTAGAACTTATTTTAAAACTTTTAACTGTATTAATCTTGTAGAAATAATTTTTATTAGCTAAGTATTCAACTTATTCAAGAGTCTCTTACCAGCATAATCATTTATAAAAAATACAATGTGAAATAAAATATTTGAAAATGTCAACAATTATGATTATTGCTCAGATTCGCTATAGTGTTCATAACTATCATTTCCGAAATTAGAATATTCATTTGGTAAGTATTCACTATTGTTAAAACTTGTATAAACGCTATAAGAAGCACTGTTACGAAAATGTTGAAGCATATTTAAAACTTCTTTGTTCTGAAGTTTAATGTCTTGTAATTCGACTTCAAAAATATTCATTTTAACTTCAAATAAATCAAGTGATTTTTCGTAATGTTTTTCGTTAAGGCCATTTTCAATCGTTTTAATCCTAACCAAAATTTCGTCAACAGTTTTTCGCATTTGGAAAATTTTTTCAGATTCTTGCTGGTATAACGTTGTGGTTTCTTTAGCTTGAACAGTAAGATAGTTTGTAATGTCATTTTTAATAGTATCAATTTGAACTATAAGTTGGTCAACACTCTTTTTTCGATTGTACTCATTTTCAATGGTGACGTTATTAATTAATTGTTTCGTATCTAGTGCATTATTTTGATTTTTTAAATTTAGTTTTGAAATTATTTCTTTTTGATTTAATTCAATTCTTCTTAATTGAGTAGATAGTTCATTAATTTTAATATCCTTTTCTTTTATTAATTCTTTTATCGATTCTGTGATAATTTTATTTATACTCGATGTAACATCTTCGTTGATTAAATTAATGAGATTATTTGAAATAATATCTACTTCATTTTTTAATTTTGTTAATAGTTCTGAGTCATTTATTCCAACGGTGTTCGTTTTATGTAATGTTTCTAACATTTGTCGATTTACATCAAGTTTTTTAGAAATAACGGAATTGATGGCATGTTTGAGATCGTTTATGTCATCCACTTGTTGTTTATTAAGCCTTTTTAAGCTGTCATGTATCGTTAGAAGGTTATTCAAAAGAACATTTTGAGAATTTGAATTTTCTGTTAATGTCGTTATTTTATTTACGCTCCCAATAATTTCCAGTTTAATGTTTTCAATATCATTGGAAACATTATTAATTTTCGTACAACATTGTTGATCTGTATTACAAGACAGCGAATGCGAAAAGTGAAGGATATCATTTAATTTGTTTTCAACACTAAAAATTTAAGAAAATTATTTTCTTCATCTTAAATTTTCCAATTCATTAAAGTACTTACTTCTTTAATACAGCAGTAGTTTGTTTGTCATGTTTAAACAGTTGTTGCTCTATTTTACCTATTGCATAATATTATTAATAATAACTTATTATATAAAAATAAGTATTACCACACTCTTCAAAACGTACCTAATATAAATTCGACGTTTGGATTTGCATTTATAAATAAATTAACATCATCAATAATATTGATAAATACTATGATTAAAAACACAATTTTGTTCATCATTTCTTCTAAAGACGTTGTTTACACATGGAGGCTAAATCAGACTGAAATAATCCTGGCAATGACCGTAATAAAAAGCAGAACAGCAGATTGATAAGAAGAACATAATTAGATTTGTTTAATTATTAAATAATTAATCTTAATTGTAATGAAACCCAAATACAGTATATTTGGGTTAAAATTATAAACTAATGACGAAGATTTATTTCTACTACAACTGGTAACTAATAAATAAAGATGTTGTTTTACGATAATTGAAGAAATAATTTCTCTTTATTTAGCTTTCTCTTTAAGTTAGCCCTTAATTAGATAGCATTTTACATGTATAGTATTTTGATTTGATAACAAGAAAACCACTCAACCGATTTCAATAAACAATGTCTCATTCGAAAGCTTAATCCTTCGCCAATACGAAAAGTGGAAATTTGAAATCTCTTTCGAATTCCGCAAAAACGCCAAAATATTGCAAAGGTACACGAAAATAACGCAAAAATGTCCTTTTCTACGTGATCATAACTAGTAAACGTTATACTCGAACTTTGTATGTAGCCACTAGAGAGCATTTTTGGATTTTACAATAGAAATTGTGAATTTTCTTAAAAAACTTAAATCTGTTGGTATTGCTTTTATGAGAAAATTCAATGGATTTCGATTAGTTTTTTAATTTTTTAAACTGCCTTCATTTAGAAGATACTTCATCTCACTTGCGAGAGCATTCCTCATTCATTGTTTTTTACTCCAATTAGATGTGAAAATTTGGCATATTAACAAAAATAAACATAGTTTTAAACACAATAATTAATATTTGTAGAAATCGGTTCAATCGGTTCAAGGGGCATTAAAAAAGCTTCAAAAAGCTTTTTCAATACCCCCTTAAACGTTCAAATTGCTGTTCATCACGTTCTATGCATTAGAGCCTCTCTTGCCTGGAAAAAAATATAAACTCTATTTCGACTCTTGTCTTGTCTGGTTGTAGGTTGAGTTTGAAACACCATGTTCTTTAGCCGCCCCCATAAATAAAAATCCAAACAAGTAAAGTCTGGGAATCTGACTGACCATGGAAATAGGCTTCCTCTTCCGATACATCGTTGTTGAAACACTGCGTTTAGGTGGTCTCTCACATTTATAGCAAAATATGCTGGGCAAGCATCCAGCTGGCCCATCTTCTAACAAAATTGTTAATTGATTGACCAAAAAATCGAGGAACACGTTGCCATATACTCCAACGCCCTTGATGTTGAACTTCGCGCAACCAATAATGCATGTTATTGACTTTACCGTCACTGTTAAAAGTTGCTTCATCTGTCCAAAGAATTTGAGACAAAAATTGTCTATTTTCATTTATCATGCCTAACATCCAATAACAATAATCTAATCTATAGTCAAAATCTTGTTCATTCAAGGTCTGATGCAAAACTAATATGGATACATCGTGGAACATTCAAGGGAACCTATATTTTCTAACGTTATTAGAAAAATTACCTATGATCCTTCAAAATATTTTGAACAGTAGTACGTAATATGCGAGAGATAATGTTAACAGATAATGCTAACATGAAGATCGGTAGTACCACCGTCTTCCAGACAAGCAAACCTTCGGTAGAATCTTCACAACTCTTCGATTAAGAGGTGCGTTCCCTAAATCGACTTGTGAAAGAGAAATTAGGCGAAGAAACAATGCTGCAGAAGTGCTTGAGGCTTGTTGAAAATGATGATGGTACTAGTACGAGAAGAATTTCTGTACTTACTGGACAAGCTAGGACGGCTGTGCGTGACACTTTGCAGGAAAACGTACTGCATCCCTATCATTACCAACCAGTACAACAACTTCTTCCCGAGGATCTTCCCCAAAGAGTTCGCCTTTGTGAATGATGGAGAAATCATCTGGATACTCTTTCAAGAACTCTTTTGTGTGACGAAGCTACATTTACTAGAGATGGAATCAACAATTTTCATAACGAACATGTGTGGAGATTCGAAAACCCTCATGCTGTTCGAGAAACCCATTTCCAGTGTAGATTCTCCGTAAACGTTTGGGCTGGAATAATTAATAATGTTGGTATTGGACCGCATTTTTTCGACTGAAATTTGAACAGCGAAATATACCAGACTTTTTTGGAGAACGATCTACCTCTATTACTTGAGGGCATTCCTATTCAAATTAGAAGAACAATGTTCTTTTTACATGATGGTGCTCCCGCCCATTATGGAAGAATTGTCACGAATTTCCTCAATGAACAGTATCCAAATCGATGGATAGGTCGTGGTGGTCCCATTGCTTGGCCACCGCGATCTCCGGATCTCACCCCACTAGATTTGTTCATGTGGGGACATGTGAAGACACTTACGTATTCAACGGGAAAGCCTAATAATAGAGACCAACTTATACAAAACATTCATGCAGCGTTTCGAGAGGTAAAAAACTATATGGAGAACTACAACTGGAAACGAAAGCTCCGGCAAAGGATTGAATTATGCATTGCACAAGGCGGTGGTCACATTGAGCAGCTTTAATAATTGCAGTGTCATTAAGCTTTTATTAAAATAAACCGCAATTTTTCCATAGCCAACCTAGCAATGTGTTGTACTGTTTAGCATCCTATTCCAGCCCCAGGGATCTTTGATAGGAGAACTTGGGACTGATTGTATGTCGAAATCCCACCGTAAGATGGCATTAGCATCTATACTGAAATAATTTAATTAAACTAACAAGATTGTTTATGTATATTGTTATCAATTATGCGTTTTAATTTAAACATTTTTAAGAATTGTTTAAATAATTTGATATTTTTCATGATGAAACTGCACCCACTGATTCTGTTTATGTTTAGAGAGAATGAGCGTATACATTTGTACCTGCTATTTGTTTATTTAAGGCCCCTCGACGCTCGAACCGCTGTCGATTTCCGAAAAGATGCATTCTTTGTTCGGACCCCGTATCAATTGCCGTTCAATAATTACGTCTTGCGTAATAAACTATTCTTTAATACGAGTGTTTGTTTTCTAAGTGCCCTACCTTCGTACCTACCTAAGTAATAAAATCGAGCTTAATCGTGTTATCAATCAATTAGAACAATTGTTAAAAGAAAAAAAAATATTTTATTGAAGTAGTTAGTAACATATCAAATTATAAAATTATACATAAAATATAATTTTTGTAACCATTATTTTTTAAATTCTAAATCTGCACGCTATATACAGATC